GCAGCTCACATGGTGATCAGTAAGCAGAGAGAGAGAGAGACTCTACTCTACAAATACAAAATATATACCTCATAGCCATGCCCCCAATGTACCACTTCCTCTAGCTATACCCCACATGCTTCCAGTTACCATTCAGTTAATCCCATCAGGAATTAATTCACTGATTAGGTTAAGGCTATGCCCCAATCATTTCTCCTCCAAATCTTCTTGCATTGTCTCACACATGAGCTTCTGGGGTACATCTCACATCCAAACCATAATACCCATAAAACTCTACAACACAGAGAATGAACTCCAATATAAACTATGAACTATAGTAACAATTGATATTGATTCATCAATTATAACAAAATGTACCACAATGATGCAATGTAAATAGGGAAAATTGATAAGTGAGAAGGAGCATATGTAAACTCTCTACATTCTGCTCTATTTTTCCTGTAAGCTTAAAACTGCTCTAAAAATAAATCTATTGATTAAAAAAGGTTCAAAAGTTTTGAATAGCTAGGCTTGGTGGCACATGGCTATAATTCCAGTGGCTTGGGAGGTTGAGGCAAGAAGACCACAAGTTAAAAGCCAGCCTCGGCAACTTAGTGAGGTTTTAAGCAACTCAGTGAGACCCTTTCCCTAAATAAAATGTTTTTAAAAGGGCTGGGGATGTGGTTCAGTGGTTAGTGCCCCTGGGCTCAATCCCCAGTACCAAAAAAAAAAAAGGATTTGAATAGATATTTCTCCACAGACGATATATCAATAAAGATATGAAAAGATGATCCTTAAAGAAATGCAAATAGAAACCACAATGAGATATCACTTCATAGCCATGGGATGGTTATAACCAATGATGGAGAATATCAAGTATTGATGAAGATGGGGAAAATGTAAAACTCATAAACTGGGAGTGAGAATATAGAATAGTGCAATCACTTTGAAAAATAGTCTGGCTGCCCCTGAAATGGTTATAAATAGAGTTACCATATGACCTGGCAATTCTACTCCTAGGTATCTACCCAAGATAATGGAAGTCTGTGTCCAAGTTAAAGACTGCAGCTGAGCACTCAGCAGAATTGTTCATAATGTTCACCAGTGGAAACCACCCAAATGTCTATGACAGATGAATGGATAAGTAAATTGCGCACCCATACAATGGAATATTATTCAGAACTGAAACATGCCATGAGGTGGATGCATGAAAGCACTATGCCAAATGAAAGAAGGGAAGTCACTAAAGACCACGTATCATACAATTCCATTTATATGAAATGTCCAGAAGAGGCAAATCTGTAGAGATAGAAAGCAGATTAGTGGTTCTGTCTGGGGGAGAAAACTGGGGACAGAGTGAATGGATGGAGTTTGGGGAATAGGTTGAAATGTTCTGTTTTCATTTTTTGATAGTTATACAACTCTGTGAATATATTAAAAACCATAGAATTATGTGCTTTAAATGAGTGCCTTGTATAGTATATTAATTATATACCAATAAAGCTATTATGTTTTTGAAATGAATATTTCAAAGGAATTATAAAGCCAGAGGGTCTCAGAATAAAGTCTCTTTTAATCAATCAATCAATTGATAACCAACAGAAAAATCTTGGCAAGTTGATAGTTAATTCCTTTAGCCATTATGATCTAAGATGTACATTCAAAGACTACTGATTCAAATATAGAAATTTTATTTGTTTATTTGGGTAAAATTTATTTTACCCAACAAGAAAATAAATATCTTATGATTTCCTAACTGAAAAATGTTTAAGAAGCCAAGAAGGGCTGCTGGCTTCAAGAGCTAGAAAGAGGGCCAGAAAATACCTCTGATGTCTGAAAATAAGAAGGACCCTAACAATAGGCATGGAATTGTCTATAACAGACCAAAACAATCATGTCTCAGAGAGTGGCCATATAACTAATATACCATCATCTAGAATTGTTGAAATTAGCACAAGTCATAAGGTAATAAGAGGATCTACTGGCTAATATAAAATAAAGACAACAAAAGAACAAGACTTTTGGCTATTCTAGATGAGGTAAAGTTATTCCAGACCTAGAAAACTAGAATTGACAGCATAGATTAAAAAAAAAAAAAAAACACCACCACCAAGAATCATTGTTTTTTGTTATTGTTTTGAGGCTATGATTGCTAAAAAGATATGTTATCTTATGAAAATCCAGGTCCATCCAAGCAAAATCTATGTACACTAAGCAGCCCTCTCATCTATTTTTGTCTCTTGTATGTGTCCATTTTATGAAGTCCCTTCAATGAGCATTCTTCTTTCTTTCTTTCTTTCTTTCTTCTTCTTCTTCTTCTTCTTCTTCTTCTTCTTCTTCTTCTTCTT